GCTAGAATGTCTCTGTGATGTATATTGACTGTTTGCTAGAATGTTTCTTTGTGATAGAATGTTGACTTTGTGTTAGAATGTCTCTCTGAGATGAATGTGCACTGTTAACTAAAATGTCCCTTTGTAATGAAATTTGGACGGTTTGCTAGAATGTCTCTTTGTGATAAAATGTTGATATTTCACCTCTTTGTGATTAAATGTTGATAGTCTGCTAGAGAAATTAAAAGGAGGATGGCCATAGCAATGCAAAGATTGAACAGTCTACGGAGATCAAAATTAGAATGTTGAGAGCATGCATCTTCCCTGTGGCTACATACGGATGTGAGTCATGGACTATCTCTCAGTCCTTAAGAAAGAGAATAGGGGCTTTTGAGCTGAAATGCTATAAAAAGATTAGCAAAATATCTTGGACAAAGAAGAGGAGAAATAATGACATCTTGAAAAATCTGAACATCAAGGAAGATTGGCTAATAAACAGCATCTGTCTCGGAAGTTGAAATATTTTGGTCATATCAAGTGCCACGATGGATTTGAAAAAAAGTATAGCAGAAGGCATGGTACCAGGAAGGAGAAGCAGGGGCCGACCGACACGAAGATGGGCACAGGATATAAATGACTCCTCAAGTATGAAAGCACATGAGGCGGGAGAACTGGCGAGAGACTGAGTTTCTTTCAGGCAGACCGTGATGAGAGCGACGTTCTGCAAAGGACCTGCTACATGATGATAATAAGTCTGTAGAATGTTTCTTTGTGGTGAAATGCTGACTGTTTGCCAGAATGCCTTGAGTTAAAATGTTGACTGTTTACTAGAATGTTTGTCTGTAATTTTCTTCTTCTTCTTCACGTTCACTGGCTGTAAACTGCGAAAAGAAAGTTCTGGTTGTTCGTCAAATTCTGAACCTTGGTCTTATTCCAGTTCTTGAGTTTTACATACCCATCCGTTTTACAAACTGGGCTTATTTGTATGCAGACTGTTGGTTTCTTGCCTCTCAGTCAGATATACTTCGACTTCAAAGGAACTCCCTGATTAGTCAAAACTTATGACATGCTTGTTAGGGAGGCAGTGGGCCTATTCCTTTTTCCCCACATTGGGGCCTCAGGGACCACACAGATATCCCTTTATGATGACTGTGTAATTTGGTGCGGTTCTGTGACTTACAACAGGGGGTTGGAAACTTGTTTTCTGCTAAAGGTCAGTTGAATAATTATCTCAATCGTGGGCCATACAAAATAATCAGCTTAAAAATAAGTGCACTTTTTGTTTTTAATCAAACAGTTTCACTGTGGTTACATGGTTGAATGATAAACTGATTTCACAGGCCATATGAGTCCTGAAGGCATGACTTTCCCTACCCTTCGTGTAGAAACCAAATGAATGAGTCAAAGCAAATACATTTTCCATCTGCCAGCAGACATTCAAAGTTTAAAAACTTCGTGTTCGAAGATACTATACAACTGATTTTTCTAAGGTGATGTTACCAGGTTTTCGAAAACAGTCTTACGACGAATCTTTGAACCCATCAAAGATGCAAACAGTGGTGAACGGAGAGGGGGAAGCAGCAATAAAGTTCATAATCTGTTTAAATCACCGCTGATCACTGGCATCATGAGAGCTAATAGACTAAAATGGTTGGGGCATATTGAAAGAATATCAGATGACAGAAAGATAAAAACTGTATACACCAGGGGAATGAATGGTTGTCGACCACAAGGCAGACCGAGAGATAATATCCAGACAGGCCTGCAAACACTTGGTGTCATCAATTGGAAAGAGAAGGCCAACCAGAGAGATAAATGGAGGCGGGTGATATCTGCAGCAATGGACCTCAAGGGCTGGGAATGCTGAAGAAGAAGAAGAAGAAAGTGATGTTACCGTGTTTTGTGTCACCTTCACAATGAAAGTTGGCAGAAATGGATCTCCCACTCACTTTATCATTTGCCCTCGATATACACTCTCTGAAATTGCCATTTCTCTATCTCTTCATGTTATCCTCCCACTTGTATCACTCTCTACGTTTTGCCCATCTACCTCTAACTTTTCCCTTCAGTGTGGTTTTTAAAAAGAGTCATATTTTTTAATTCTCACTTGTCTCTCTCTTCATATTTCCTGCAGTTTTCTTTCCCCGTCTCTCCAGAATTTATGTATTTGATTGTTTTTATCTTCATAAGATTACAACTTGTTTTTCTGTACATCTCCATTTCCACATTCTAATTCTATTGAGTTGTCACAATTTCCAACTTTTGGGTCTTATGTGCTGCGGTCTCAACCTTTTCTTCACTGGCCAGCAATAACACATCATCCTCATCATCATGTAGCAAGTCCAATCAGAACATCGCTCTCATCACGGTCAGCCTTAAAGAAACTCGGTCTCTTACCAGCTCTCCCACCTCAGCACTTTCACATCTAAGAAGTCCCTGTGTGTGTTCCGTGGCCCTATTATAGGGGGAAAACAAGAATAGGTACACTGTCTACCCAAAAGCATGTCTAAGAGTCAACTAATTGGGAGCTTTCTTCGAAGTCAGAGTGCATCTGCCTGAGAAGCAAGGAACCAGCAGTCTGCATACAAATGAGTCAGATCCGTTAGGTTCTGGAACAGGACTGCAGTCCAAAATTGGATGAACAACCAGAACTTTCCACCAGAGTTTACAGCTGGTGAAGAAGAAGAAGATATCCAAGAAGTCTCTTATATCTTGTGCCATCTTTGTGTTGGTCGGTCCCTGCCCCTCCTTCCTGGCACCATACCTTCTGCTATTAATTTTCCAGTCAGCCTCAGTGCTTGATATAGCCACAAATATTTCAGCTTCCGAGACAAGATGCTGTTTACCAGCTAAGAAAAAACAAATAACAACCTACACAAAATACACCATAAATAGTTTTTTTTATTAGGTAACATTTGAATGCAAAGAAAACAAACTGCAAGCGTGAGATTAATTAACAACAACAAAAAACAAGCATTCCCTGTTGTATTCATCTGATTGCTTTAATGAGCACAAACTTAGTGCTCCTGCTATTAAGTAATGTAAACGACCCTTCTCATTTCATTGGCACATTAGACTTTTTGGGGTAGATGCATATTTCTTTTACTACAGACAAATCAGCGTTAAATGGGTGGTGATGTAAGTTTTGGGCCAGACACCTTTACTTCCCATCACATTTACCGATGGCTATATTTTTTTTTTAGCTGGATGTACCAGGGAAGCCAAGTGGATTGTTGAAATTTGCCTCAGTATGACATACACAAGTATGACCATTATGACATACACAAGCATGACCATTATGACATACACAAGCCTGACCGTTATGACATACACAAGCATGACCATTATGACATACACAAGCCTGACCATTATGACATACACAAGCATGACCATTATGACATACACAAGCCTGACCATTATGACATACACAAGCATGACCATTATGACATACACAAGCATGACCATTATGACATACACAAGCATGACCAATATGACATACAAGCATGACCATTATGACATACACAAGCATGACCATTATGACATACAAGCATGACCATTATGACATACACAAGCATGACCATTATGACATACACAAGTATGACCGTTATGACATACACAAGCATGACCATTATGACATACACAAGCATGACCATTATGACATACACAAGCATGACCATTATGACATACACAAGCATGACCGTTATGACATACACAAGCCTGACCATTATGACATACACAAGCCTGACCATTATGACATACACAAGCATGACCATTATGACATACAAGCATGACCGTTATGACATACAAGCATGACCATTATGACATACACAAGCATGACCATTATGACATACAAGCAAGACCATTATGACATACACAAGCATGACCATTATGACATACACAAGTATGACCATTATGACATACACAAGTAAGACCATTATGACATACACAAGTATGACCATTATGACATACACAAGTATGACCATTATGACATACACAAGCATGACCATTATGACATACACAAGCATGACCATTATGACATACACAAGCATGACCATTATGACATACACAAGCATGACCATTATGACATACACAAGCATGACCATTATGACATACACAAGCATGACCGTTATGACATACACAAGCCTGACCGTTATGACATACACAAGCCTGACCGTTATGACATACACAAGCCTGACCGTTATGACATACACAAGCCTGACCATTATGACATACACAAGCATGACCATTATGACATACACAAGCATGACCATTATGACATACACAAGCATGACCATTATGACATACACAAGCATGACACATCAGCTTTCTAGCCTCTCCACTGTCAGAGCTCAATTTATAGAAAGGTCTCAGAGATTTATATTAATTCTGTAAAAGCCACAATTGAACTAGACCTTCACACTGGCAGAGAAAGCACATGCTGACCTAGATCAGGGCTATTCAACAAAGTTTACTCAGGAGCCCAAAACTGTGACAATGTGGTTCGTCATCGGCTTGAGCCCCAGCATAAACAGATTAATAACACAATACCGCTGGCAATGAATCGTGGGCCACTTGCTAGACCTCTGCGGCCAGATTCGGCCCACAGACAGACAGTTGATCTGGATCCTCACATCGGCATAGAATGTGAATGCTGGGATACTTCTGTTCATACTTCCAGTTTATTCTTCTCCTCTTGGCTGTTGTCTGTAGATGTGGGAATAAACACCCCCCCCCCCCCCCCAATTCACAGTCTTATCGTGGATGACAGACCAACATGGCAAACCCCAGATACCATGTTCAACCTCTAAAGTTATAATTATGGCACCCATAATGGCTACATCAGCCTGATGTAACCGCCAGGCACTGTGTGGGCAAGGAAGAATCAAGAAATGGAAAACTAAAGAGAACGCGGAATAGATCCCCAACACCTTAGGGGAAACTGGTACAGTAGCCCAGAACAGGACAGCATAAATGAAATGTGACAAGCCGTCTGCTCCAGAAAACATCATGGTGTTGTTTGCTTTCCGCTGCTTCTGTCAAGCAGTCCAGCAATTTCCTCCTCCGTCGCAATATTGAGCAAGCAGTACAGCGCCCTCTTGTGTGCTGTGGAGTTGACTGTTGCATCAGCCTGTGATGGTTGAGAGATTAAGATATTAGCAAGGAAATCCAGTCTGGTTGTAAGTAGGCAAGTTGTACCCCACTAGGACATCACACAAGCGATAAACACCCGTAGACACAAAGTGCCACCATGCGGATGAGGATCACACAGGGAGAGGTCCAGACACCCCTTTCAGCCATATATATGCCCCGGATATATTTACGGCCCCCGGCAGAAGCCAGAATGGGGCTTCAAATAACAGAAAAAACTGCATCCCACATGGGGACGACTATAAAATAATAGAAGTCTGGTTTGGTTAATTGTCTAAAACATTTAAAGCATAGGGACTGGCCAGAAGGCACTGAAATCCAATAACTGGTTTATGATATTTCCCTTCCAGATAATTTGATTATCCATAAATATGGCTCTGTGTTGAGTAGTAGAAGAAGTGCATGGTGGTTTATAGCTTAATGCACCATAGTCTGGCATCTGATATCACAAAATCTAGTTTGAGAAAGGAGATGGAGGCAGTCTTTGTAGCCCCCAGGTGGCTTGAAAACTACTCCCCACACACACACACATCATAACTGTAACAGATTGACACAGCATACTGAGATAGATGAAGACAAGTATTCTCTGTGAAGAATGACAAGCATCGCTTCAGAAATCCTGGGTGGTTAGTACCCAGGGCAGTCAGACGTGTTGGGAAATGAACAGACAGACAAGCTGGTTCTGCAACTTGGTGGTCAACTGATGCATCAGAAGTTAGATATGGCTAAGTTGTGTTGAGTTGGGTCAAGAATCGACATTACAGCATTCGGTGCATTCCCATGCATGCTCCGTCCTCATCTTCAGCAGCCAGTGCAGAGTTCCAATACTGATGGTACCAGTCACAATCTGGTTATATGTCCCTCTTGCCTTTCCTCTGAGTGTAGTGAGCCGGCCAGACCCTCTGGTTACATCCAGGTGCCTCATACTCTCCAGGCCATAATAATCTTGTTTCTCTGCTGATTCCGTTGCTTGTTCCCAAAGGGCCTGAACATATTTAGTTAAGGCCCATTAAGAGCAAGTGAACAGTGAGAAAGCACACACAATTCATCACTGTCTGAACAGAGTGGTGGGGGCAGGGAGAGACCAGAGGATCTGGCTAACATACCATACAATCAGACTGCTACACTAGGAGCAAGTGAACAATGAGAAAGCACACATAATTCATCACTGTCTGAACAGAGTGGTGGTGGGGGCAGGGAGAGACCAGAGGATCTGGCTAACATACCATACAATCAGACTGCTACACTAGGAGCAAGTGAACAATGAGAAAGCACACACAATTCATCACTGTCTGAACAGAGTGGTGGTGGGGGCAGGGAGAGACCAGAGGATCTGGCTAACATACCATACAATCAGACTGCTACACTAGGAGCAAGTGAACAATGAGAAAGCACACATAATTCATCACTGTCTGAACAGAGTGGTGGGGGCAGGGAGAGACCAAAGGATCAGGCTGACATACCATACACAGGGGAAAGGCAAGCAGACATACAATCAGACTGCTATTGGTACCATAGGAAATGGAACTGTGCTGGCTGCTGAAAATGGGGACAGAGTGCTTAGCTTAGGGAATGTCCTGTGTGCTGTGATGCCAGTTCTGAACCCAAATCAAGGTTCAAAGTTGAGTGTAATCCTTAATGTACTAAGAAGAAACAGGATGAGAAACAATGATATCAGGAAACAAGCAGGAATGAAAAAGCAATCAAGCACACTGCCACAGGATAGTGCATCCAAAATGGTTCTGTCATTCAGACACAGTGGAAGCAGAGCCAGAGGTAAGTGATGGATAGATGGAAAATTTGAGACCTTGAGTACTATCATCTATGAAGACCCCCCCCCCCCCCCCCCCCACTCAGGCTCGCAACTAAACCTGATGGTGAAAAGCAGAACGAGGCATGGGGACTAGAGAACAAGGAAAGATGGTTAAATAATACTAATCATGCATAAAAAATGGTTCTATAAAAAAAACTATGAATAAGTATGAACCTTTGATAATTGCAAAAAGCTAACATCTGCTTACCATGTTGGCGATTGCAGCTACATGCTGCAGAAGTTCACACCTGTCTCTGGACACCAGCACATACAGGGCCCTGAAAGTAGGTATCAGTGTTAGGTTTTATACTTATAATTGTAGTCCACATATGCGTTCTGCTACCCCTTTGTGGGTGGGGTACATTCCTTTTAATACGCTGTTCTTGCAGTCTGGTCATGGTTGCAGATTCAGTCACTTGCTTGTTCCAAACGTCCTACTTCTCAAAGATCATTCAGCATATCAGCCTGGTCCATGCCTTGTCTACCCTCCAGAAGCTTGACCTGCAAACCTCATCAGCTTGCTCATTTCCTTCCATGCGCTGGCACCAAACTGATCCTTGTCAGTCCTGATTGTCTCACAGATACCACCTACTGTCTTTAGACCCAGCTTATCTCTCTCTTCCTGCTTCGGTCACTTCCATGACCTCTATAGTCAGACTACTTGTAGTCAAGGCAAAAGCATCAGAATCTGGATTCACAAACTTTCCCTCCAACCTGAGACGTAAATGCCCACAAGCTTCTCACACGGCAAACAACAGACCTATCTGTGTAAATGACAGCATCCTACACTAGAGAATTCCCAAAAATCACGGCCTGAATTTCTGCCTCCCCCATGGCAGAAAAAAATATTACAAATACCTTGTACTGCCAGAATAACTAACACTGATTGCCTGGAAATGGCTAATAAAAGTAGAACATTATAACAACAATGAGAAAGAGACAAAGTATTTGGTCATGTGATGAGAAAAGCAGCACTGGAAAATACTGTGACGGCTGGAAGGATCACTGGAAGAAGAGACAGAGGCAGACCGAGAGCAATGATAGAGGACGGCTTAAGACAGTGGCATGGGGGAATATCATCAGTGGAATTAATCCTGAACACCAAAGACAGAGATCTGTGGAGATGCATGAATGCCTACGCTAGCTGGCAAGGCACTTGATGATGATGCCCACGGCTGGACTCTGCTGTTGTGCAGTACTTTATTGGCAGTTGTGCCCACTATTCGCCAGGCTCTATGTCCTCAAGTGAACAAACCTACCAAATAACGTCCTCTGCCTGACAACCCATCCACGATTTTCCTCTTTTTAATCCGCTGCCTTTTTCTTCTTAATTTCACTCATCAGCGGGAGGCAAATCTGTATTCTGTCCTCCATGGCTGCTGAATCAACTGGCTAGGGCAGCGGTTTTCAAACTTTTTTCGCTGCAGCACCCTTATCGGGCTAAATTGATTTCACAGCACACCTACCCTTAAACCAGTTTGAATACTTTGGAAATGAAATGAAAAAAAATGTTTAATGTTTTAATGTTTAATTGTTTTTAATGCCATAAATGGAAACAGATGAATTTTTCATTATTTCCTTTATGTATATGGGAAGTTTAGTTGATTTTACCCTCAGATCACTTGACCCAGAAAGTTTGCTCCCGTATCTGTTTTGCGTGTGTGTGTGTGTGTGTGTGTGTGTGTGTGTGTGTGCGTGCTAAGCATACGTTGAGAATGCACTGCAGCCTTGCCAATAGCATTGTCTTCAGTATACAGCCGAATATATTCAGTATTCAGAACTCTTCTTGGCTTCCTTCCTGGTGTTCCTGTTTTAAACGGCTGACCTCATCAGATGTTTAAAAATTCTTGATTATTGGCGCAGCACCCCCTGGCATAGCTGGCGGCATCCCTGGCATATGCTTGCAGCACCCAGTTTGAGAACCATTGGGCTAGGGCATCACCCAGTGAGGTTTGCACTGAGACTTTGATTCTGCAATAAAATGCCACGTTTAACCTGTTTGCTTCATGTATGCTAAAACAATCAAGTGTGGGGAAGGTCTTAAACACATCAGTATTTCTAGAAAAAATCCATCAAAAAAAGATCCCACATTACACAGGTCAATAATAAATAATACATTTTTTATACCTATATTATCATAACTGCTGTTCGAAATAAAAGTATATAAAGGGGTAATCAATAAACATGAACAGAGGTAAGTGTTAAATGAAATTAAAAAAATAAAGAAATAAATGCATTGGGTGACTCATATCTGATACCTTATCTTTATCCCAGAGTGTTACAGAAAATCTGACATCAACCTGGCTTTCAAAAAGCCAGGAAGAAACCGTTCTTAAAGCTATTTTTAGCTACTATATTCACATCCTAGCCTATTAAACGATGTGCAGGCACACATAGGACCAACAGAATGTAACCATGCTATCTGAGAACAAAGCACTAACTGCAGACATGACCAAATTATCTACATTTAGGGGACAGCGTCACAACCGCAAGTGACTTGATTTAGTCTTCGTGTGGTGACATGGTTGAGGCGACTGTTGCAGAGTTCTTCATCCCCTCTCCTTGCCCATTAATCAGCAGGGTGCCTGTAACTCTCTTAGCAGTTAAGTAAGAAGCAGGTACAGGGCCCTTGTAACATGTGTAGCTTGCTGGGCACATGATGCTAAATCTTCATTTGGTTTGGACTAATTGGCACTGGGCCGGAAGATCGTGGGTTACGGTTCTGAAAAAACTGGGCTTTAAAAAAAAATTAGAAAAACCTTGAGTGGGTACCAGCTGGAGTCCTGGGAAGTAAAGGCAGTTTAGTGAATGTTGACCACATCACCCACCAAGTGCTGATAGGTAAATAAAATATAGGTCTAGCCCTATATGCCCGAAGGTGTGGAAAATGGTCCCCCAAAAATGGCAATGGGTAAGTGATGTGATCACCCTCTGTTACAGTAATACATACAATATTATGTGTCATGCATACACTCTGTCATGTATGAATGCCTGTAAGTTGGTTACTCTCTCAAAAGTAACACAGACAATATGGTGCCTGTCAGTCACTCTCACATAAGAAACACAGACAATATGGTGTCTGTCAGTTGCTCTCTCACAAGTAACACAATCACTTCACCTACTACAACTTACCTCTTCACGTTATCCTTTTCACTGACTTGATTATCCGCAGGAAAAACATCAAATGTCAAAGTCTGTGTTTAAAATATATGAAATAGTCAATCTACAAGTCTTAAAGACAGGTTTCATGATAAACATGATAAACAAGCAAACAGTGAAATAATGCTATCCTGGCAAATAGTGGAATAATGCTATCTTGTTAAATAGTGGAATAAGGCTACCTTGGCAAATAGTAAAAGAATGCTATCTTGGCAAGCAGTGAAACAATGCTATCTTGATAATTGTGGAATAATGTTACCTTGGTAAGTAGTGGAATAATGCTACCTTGGTAAATAGTGGAATAATGCTATCTGGACAAAAAGCTGAAAAATTTATAGCGCTATCTGGACAAAAAGCTGAAAAATTTATAGCTTAACAAATAATAGAACAGTGCTTCATATATAAATAGTGGAAAACTGCTTTCTTGAAAATTATTGGAACAATGCTACCTTGACAAATGTTGGAATAATGCAATCTTGACAAATAATGGTATACAGCTATCTTGACAAATAATAGTAACGCTATCTTGACAAATAAAGGAATAACGCCACCTTGATAAATAATGAAATAATCCTATCTAACAAGCAATAAAATAATGCTATCTGACAAATAATGGAATAACGCTATTTGACAAATAATGGAATAATGCTACCTTGACCCATAATGAAATAATGCCACCTTGACAACCAATGGAATAATGCCATCAAACAAATAATGGAATAATGCTATCTGGACAAATAAAGCTATATAGACAAATAATGGAATAATGCTATCGACAAATAATAAAATGATGCTATCTTGACCCTCCAAAAAATATATGCTACCTTGACAAATAATGGAATAATACTATCTGACAAATAATGGAATAAGGCTACCTTGACAAATAATGGAATAATGCTATCTGACAAATAATAGAGTAATGCTACCTCGACATAACTGAATATTTTGCTACCTTGAAAAATATTGGAATAATGCTATCTGGACAAATTATAGAATAATGCTATCTTGACAAATGGAATAATGCTACCTTGACAAAAAATGGACAAATGGTACCTTGACAAACAATGGAATAATGGTACCTTGACAAATAATGGAATAATGCTATCTTGACAAACAATGGAATAATGCTATCTTGACAAACAATGGAATAAAGCCACCTCGACAAAAAATGGAATAATGCTACCTTGACAAATAATGGAATAATTCTACCTTGACAAGCAATGGAATAATGCTACCTTAACAATGGAATAAAGCCACCTTGACAAATAATGGAATAATGCTACCTTGACAAATAATGGAGTAATGCTACCTTGACAAATAATGGAATAATGCTACCTTGACAAATAATGGAATAATGCTACCTTGACAATAATGGAATAATGCTACCTTGACAAATAATGGAATAATGCTACCTTGACAAACAATGGAATAATGCTACCTGGACAAATGAGGGAGTAATGCTACCTTGACAAATATTGGAATAATGCTACCTTGACAAATAGGGGAAGACTACTATCTAGTTTTGACACATGTTTTTAATTCTACATACAACTGGAGGAGACTACTAAAAAACTTGCTTCCTACCTGGTCCTGATCAACTAGAGAGGTTCCCAGCAGCCACTTGTCCAGTAACAGCTTCCTAACTTCCAGCAGGTTTGTCCCATTCAAGTCAGCAATCTCATCACACACAGCATTGATGTCTGCATGGCATTGTTGGGACAAAAACATATAAGACTGTTTCAGTTAATCTTGTAACATGGTACAATTAAGGCAGTGAAAAGCAATTGAGGCCGAGGAAATACCCGGCAAAGACTCAAAAGTAAATCCCATCTAATATTCAGTACGGCTTTCATTAACACATTCCAAACATCCAGCGTTACCCACCCTCTAAACATCCAGCATTACCCTACCCTCCAAACATCCAGCATTACCTACCCTCCAAACATCCAGCGTTACCCACCCTCCAAACATCCAGCATTACCCACCCTCCAAACATCCAGCGTTACCCACCCTCCAAACATCCAGCGTTACCTACCCTCAAAACATCCAATGTTACCCTACCCTCCAAACATCCAGCATTACCCTACCCTCCAAACATCCAGCGTCACCCACCCTCTAAACATCCAGCATTACCTACCCTCAAAACATCCGTTACCCTACCCTCCAAACATCCAGCGTTACCCCCCCTCCAAACATCTAGCGTTACCCCCCCCTTCCAAACATCCAGCTTTACCCCCACCCTCCAAACATCCAACATTACCCCCACCCTCCAAACATCCAGCGTTACCCCACCCTCTAAACATCCAATGTTACCCCACCCTCCAAACATTCAGCGTTATCCCACCCTCCAAACATCCAGCATTACCCCACCCTCCAAACATCCAGCATTACCCCACCCTCCAAACATCCAGCTTTACCCCACCCTCCAAACATCCAGCTTTACCCCACCCTCCAAACATCCAGCTTTACCCCACCCTCCAAACATACAGTATTACCCCACCCTCCAAACATCCAGCATTACCCCACCCTCCAAACATACAGTATTACCCCACCCTCCAAACATCCAGCATTACCCCACCCTCCAAACATCCAGCGTTACCCCACACTCCAAACATCCAGCGTTACCCACCCTCCAAACATCCAGTGTTACCCCAAGCTCTAAACATCCAGCATTACTCCACCCTCCAAAAATCCAACATTACCCCAATCTCCAAACATCCAGAGTTACCCCACCATCTAAACATCCAGCATTGCCCCACCCTCCAACATCCAGCATTACCCCACCCTCCAAACATCCAGCGTTACCCCACCCTCAAACCATCAAGCATTACCCACCCTCCAAACATCCAGCGTTACCCCACCCTCAAACCATCAAGCATTACCCACCCTCTAAACACTCAATGGATATCATCATGTAGCAGGTCCTTTGCAGAACGTCGCTGTCATCACAGTCTGCCTGAAAGAAACTCGGTCTCTCGCCAGCTCTCCCGCCTCATGAACTTTCACACTCAAGGAGTCACTTATATCCTGTGCCCATCTTCATATCGGTTACCCCTGCTCCTACCTTCCTGGTACCATGCCTTCTGCTATTATTATTCCAATCCGTCGTGGCACTTGATATGACCAAAATATTTCAGCTTCCGAAACAGGATGCTGTTTTTTAGCCAATCTTCCTTGATGTTCAAATCTTTAAAGATGTTAGTAATTCCCCTCTTCTTTGTCCAAGATATTCTGAGAACCTTTCTATGGCATTTCAGCTCAAAAGCTCTAAGGATATACACACATAAAAACAAAACCAGCATGATCTGCCCTCCAGACTAAGTAACTGTTCCGCTTTCAGCTTCACACTCAGTGGCAATTAACTACCAATAACTTGAATGGAAAAGAGAAGGAGTGTATATGTGTGTGTGTCCATTAGAGTCAGATATACAATGGAAAAAAAAAGGGGGGGGGGGGGGAAGATGAGACAAGGTTGAGTGATAGTAGGTGTTTCTGTGTGTGAGAATCAGAGACAAAGAGGGAGGATTAGGAAGGGAGAAAAACAAGAGGGGAAACCAAGAATGCTGGGAGGGGGATGGGGGGGTCAGGTAAGAGCTGCTGTATTAACTTTTCTGGTTCCTTAAGCAACTTTGCCAGATCTTTCTCCTTGTCCAGGTGGGCTCGACACAATGCCCATAATGTGGAGAGCAAGCAAGCAAGCACACACGCGCGCACACAGAGAGAGAGAGAGAGAGAGAGAGAGAGAGAGAGAGAGAGAGAGAGAGAGAGAGAGAGAGAGAGAGAGAGAGAGAGAGAGAGAGAGAGAGAGAGAGAGAGAGAGAGAGAGAGAGAGAGAGAATAGAGGGCAGACAATAAGTAGGCACTGAGTGAGACAGTCAAAAACAAAGGGAGAGTTGGGAGGGGGGGGGGGGCCTAGAGAGAAGAAAAACATGGTTGTGAGAGAGATGGTAGGGTGGAGGGGCAGAGACAGAGAAAGACAAGTAAAACAGACAGACAAAAAGGAATGTAATATCTCTTGCATCATAAAAGAATCAATATTCTCACCAGTCATCTGCTCCTGGTCCTCGTCAACCACAGGCGGCATCAAGTAGAGCCGCTGTATTAACTCTTGTGGTTCCTTGAGCAACTTTGTCAGATCGTTCTCCTTGTCCAGGCCGGCTCGACACAATGCCCATAATGTGGAGTACAGCTGCAGCTTCTTAGAAAACATCTCCACAGATTTCCTGGCCGCCTCCATCTGCTGTGGCTGGGAAACCAAACAAAAACTTTACAGGACGTTGCAGAAACAACCTCAGCATTATTTTTGGCTGTTGCGGCTTTTCTAGGCAAATTTACGTCCAGTAGTTACCACTGCTTTTAAACGGCTGGCTCTCACTACCTCTGTCGAAACAAAGCAAGGTGGTCTGCTGCTGAACTGTTTGCAGCCGGGATCTAAAAAAAAAGGCACCTCAGTATTACAAAACCCGTTTACAACACCTAAGCCACAGACACCAGGTGAAAAAGTCTTTTGTTCGATTCCACCATTGGGCAGACATTTAAAATTTACCCAGGGTTCCTAGGTCACAGGTAGTAAATCTCCTGGAAAGTGAATCTTCTTCTGAGCATTCACCGACTGTAAACGTCAGCGGAAAGTTCTGGTTATTCACCGACTTATGGACTTTTGCCTTATTCCTGGACTTGAGCAGTGTTGCCACTTTGGATGTTTTACATCCAGATTTAGATGTTTTTCACTGCCTTAGATGGAGTTTTTGACATTTAGATGGTAGATGTTTTTCTAGTTGTTTTTCATTGAGTGAATTTATCAAATCTAACCTAAAAAACAGGATGGAATTTGACCTCTTAAATGCTATCTTGACAATAAAATTCGGCCTTATAAGAGTAGAAAAAGGCTGTTCCATTTATCAGCTCCCTGATTGGGTATTGAAAGAAATTGGAACAGCTAAAGCATACAAGTCATTTTGGATCTGAAGCTTCAACTTCATCATTAAAGCTAAGTTTATCCTGTGGATCTTGTAAGGCAGACTTCAGTAAAGATTAGGACATGATTCTATAGGGTAAGTCATATCATTTGCTATTTAATTTGTGACTCTTTCCATTTGGATGTTTTTTGTCAGAGAAAAATGGCAACACTGAACTTGAGAACTGCGTGCATATCTTTTCTATTTTTTTTAAAACAGATGTGGCTTATCTGTATGCAGACTGTTGGTTTCTCACCTTTCAGGCAGATGTAGACTTTAAAGGAAACTTCCCTAATGAGTCAGCTTGCACGATATGCTTGTGAGGGAGACAGTGGTTCTACTCTTTTCCCCCTCCCCCACACACAGGGAGGTCAGTAAGTAAAGGCTGTGGGTGTGATGTTCAACATATCACTCATCAAGCTGTGGGTGTGATGTTCAAAATATCACTCATCAAGCTGTGGGTGTGATGTTCAACATATCACTCATCAAGCTGTGGATGTGATGTTCAACATATCACTCATCAAGCTGTGGGTGTGATGTTCAACATATCACTCATCAAGCTGTGGGTGTGATGTTCAACATATCACTCATCAAGCTGTGGGTGTGATGTTCAACATATCACTCTTCAAGTTCTGACTGGTCCACAACGATATGCCTGATAGGTCCAGTTTGTGAAAAGATTCTTTTTTACTTTGAAAAAAAAAAAAGGAGGAGTGGGAAGGTACCATAACATGGAGATCAGCAAGGATGAAGAAAAAGATAATATCAAAATAGGCACTGCTAGATGGGTATATGATGCTACACACTTAGTTTATTAAACCCTAGACAAGCGTTATTTTAACTCTTATCTCTTAGAAACTGGGGTTGGAGAATCATGAACTTGGGATTTCTAAAAAAAATCCCTTTACAAAATATGTTTAAAAAAAAAAAAAAAAAAAAAAAACTTCCACTCTCTACTATTTTGCACAGGTCATTAATAAAGTAATTAATTTATTTATACACATAAAAAAATATTTTAAGAAATACATGAAAGGTAATAATAAACAGGTACAGAGTGTGGAGAATAAACTGAAAACATTTCTTTAAGCTAAAAAAAGAAACAAAAAAATCAACAGCGACATACAGTGACACCGTAGCTATTTAACTGCCTAAAGTAAATTATACTGTCAAAATACACTCCCCCACCCCCCATCATTTTTCACAATAACTTATCTAAAGTTAGTACAGATAATTATTTTTGGTTCTCCTAAACACTGTGCAGCCAAAAAAAAAGAATACCGTTAACTAAGCTTACTGTCCGCATACACATGAGACAGATCTGTAAAATGGATCTGCACACAACGTCCATGTTCTAGAACAGAGTTAGAGATCAGAAGTGGATGAACAACCAAAACTTTCCGGTGGTGAATGTGAAGAAGAAGAAGGAGGAGTTAAACTGCATTTAGCTCATCCAAAGGTTAATCTTGCAAAAGGCCCTTGTCGATGTTCTATGCTGTGCAGGTTAAATGCATGTAGCAGTAAAAGTCTCATAAAGAATGTCTACTGAGCATTTACAAACAAATGGGCTACATATTTTAAAATACATACAGAACGGGAGATCAAAGGATAGACAAAGGAACGGACAGAAGAAAAAAACAGAAAGAGTAAAGAGAGACAGAGGAAACAAGAGAGGGGTTAAAATTAAAAAAGAGGGTGTGTGGGTGGGGGGGGGGGGGGGTAATAGGAAGAAAAGACAGAAAAGGAGTCATACTGACAGAAATGAAACAGAAGACAGGAGAGAAGAGTAGTGTAAAAGAGAGAGCTAGAAAGAGTCAGTATATATGACAAAGTTATCTAAATATTATCTCCACAAACCTCACTGGCAGACTTCATCCACAGTTTGGCATGTTTCACACAGCCTTGGAGTGCTAGCGTCTTCTCGCCAACTACACAAACAAGAGAAATCAATGATTTCAGCAATACTTTATCTCTTGACTCTAGTTATTAAGTATGTCAGATCTGAGTCAACACTTTATCCATTAGCTAACAGGCAATTATGTATGTTTGATGCTGGAACAATAGTAAGTGGATTTAAATATGGAAAAGCTGATATATTCCAGGCAAACGTAGCCTTTTTTCAAAGAAAAGATGTCATATGTAACTGTCTTGTACATTAAGTGGCAACATGATGCCTATACAATGTAACAAAGATATGTTGCATGGTTTTTTTAAATGTTGAATGGCATTACTGCAGTCATACACTAAACTAATTCTAGGTGTCAAAATAGAAAAAAAAATAAAAAAAAAAACAAATGTGATTTTCTTGAAAAAATTAGTAAATGTGGAACTGTGATGTCTGAGAAAGGCGGCAAGAGTAATTAGAAGGCACACAATCAGGAATAAAGGAGCCAGGGAAAATTTAAGCGTATAAATAATTACGAATTACACACAAAGACATCAGATGAAATGGTTTGCCCACTCAGAGTGAACGTCTTGAAATGCTGCACCATATAGTGCACATAACAAAAGAAGAGAAGGATGTAGAGAACGAGGTATACCAAGAACAATATGGAAAGATAACATCAGAGAAACTATACTACAGTACCATGTCTTTATAGTTAATGCCGCCATAAGAAGAATCTTTTATCTCCCTCAACATCCTAAACAGTAATTGAAGAATTGAAGATTTGGTACCACACAACAACACCCTGTGTGATTTCCTTAACCCTACCAGACCGCTGGCCCGGTTTACCAGGAATTTCTTAACCAGTCTCTATACCGCTGGCCCTAATTTTCGGCTTTTTGTGTAGTACGGGGAAACGATGCGTCACGGACTAAAAAAACCAACCAATCATTATCAATCCTCTTTGTTAGACATTGCAAATGTCTGCCCGCATGTGTATGGATTATATTTGTGTTGTTTTACGTGGACAAATTCTGAAAATTCCCAATGAAACGGGCGGCTGATGAACCAAGTTCTAGGCTTTTCACAGTCCAACAGGTGATCAATTCTTTGGTTTATTCAGACTCTGTGATATATATATATATATTCATTATCTATGATAATTTCATAAAGAATATGTTCTTGAAGTGACACTGTCAGTGAGAGCGCGAATGATTAGCAAAATCTTGAAAATTATAAATCTTGAGATTGATCGAAAGTAGAAAAAGGGGGTTTGTCCATCAAACGGCTTCATCTGGTGTTCACTTTGTGAAACAAAATTGGTCCTGATGAGTGAATTGGCACACAAAGGTGGAATCTTGGCGCTAGATAAAAGGTAAGCCTATTTTCTACAATGTCTCCAAGTTTCGTCATATTCTAGCCACTCGTTTGCATGTAACTAATATTTTTGTATATCATGTTGGTTTTTTCTTGGTAATGCCCAGGAGCTCAGGTTATTGGGACAGTTAGGTTCAGGGCCTCAGGTCTGGTAGGGTTAAATACTGTGTGAACTGGGTGAGTAAGAATACAAGTAATACCATGGGTGAGTTTGTTGAATGTCGAGTGACATCACATCCACACAACAACACCCTGTGTGACTTTCTTAAATACTGTCTGAACTGGGTAAGAACACAAGTAATACCATGTGTGAGTTTGCAGAATGTCGAGTGAGATAATATCCACTCAAAAACACCCTGTGTCTTCTTCTTCTTCACTTCCTCTGGCTCTTTTACCGCTGTGGGTGTCGAGGGAGATATAAGGTTCTGTTTCTAGCTCTTCTGGCCGCCTCGACCATAGGCACATCGTGCTGTTGTAGAGTTTCTCTGATGTTATCCTTTCATCTTGTTCTTGGTCTACCTCGTGCTCTACGTCCTTCTTCTCTTTCCATGTATGCTTTGTATGGTATGGTGTCACAAGGCATTCTCTCTAAGTGGGCAAACCATTTCACTTGCTGTCTTTGCATGTAATTTAGAATTGGTTCTGTGCCGACTTTTTCTCTTATGATCTCATTCCTGATCTTATCTCTTATGGTCACTTCTACAGCCCTTCTCAGACATCTCATTTCCATGGTTACTAATTTTCTTTTATGGTTTGTTGTGAGTGACCATGTCTGGCACTGGTAGCACAGTTAGAAAAAATATGCTTTGAATAAGATGTCTCTTTGTGCTGATTGGGATTGTCTTATGCTGTAAGAGGGGAGCTAGCTGTCCCAATACTTGGTTTGCTTTACTGCATCTAATGTTAATTTCTTTATCCAATTTCCCATCTTCGGTAAATGTAGTTCCCAGATATTTAAACTCAGATGCCTGTTTAATGCCTTTACACTCTATTGCTATGTTTAGATCTGTCTTCTTTTTTCCTATTGACATTACTTCTGTCTTTTCAGTGTTGATTCTCATATTATTTGTTTTACATTCTTCATTCATGGATGTTAGATGTTGTTGCAATTTCATGGCTGTATCTGCTAACAAGGCCTGGTCATCTGCAAAGAGTAATTCATTGATCTTACTAACATTTTCATTCATATGCTTGGCATTCTTGCATATACTGTCGATGTAGGTGATAAACAGCAGTGGTGATAAGACACACCCCTGTCTTACTCCAGGTGTTACTGTGAATGGATGAGATGTTCCCTGATTTATTCTAACTACACTTCTACAATCCCTGTATAAACTTTTGCACACTTCGATGAGGTGTTCGCTTACTCCATATCTTGCCATTACTTTCCATAAGATAGTGTGATTTCCTTAAATACTATGTGAATTCTGTGAGTAAGAATACAATACCATGTGTAAGTTTGTTGAATGTAGAGTGACATCACATCCACACAACAACACCCTGTGTGATTTCCTTAAATACTGTGTAAACTAGGTGAGTAAGAATACAATACCATGTGTGAGCTTGCTGAATGTCGAGTGACACCACCACACGGCTTTCTCCTTGTCTTCCAACTGAGTTAGGATTGAATCCACCTTGGCCAGAACTTGGAAGAATTCATGGCTGACTGCCTCACTGCTGGAAGATGACGATGAGGCTTTGATGTAGTTTTCTATCATGTTGGTCGATGCTTTCAAGAGGATACTGGCCTTGGAAATCTGAACATACATGTTTTGTAATCAATGGGATCAAATAAAATTTATAGTTAAATTAAAGATGACAATCTTATTGAAAAAAAACATATTCAAGTGGAGAGCTGAAGGCTATGTTATGGTGTATATGCAAAGGCGTCTTAGTTCCTACGTTAAGTATCTTTATGTGTGTTGCAAAGGCATTTTGTTTTCTATGTAAGAAATATATACCAGGGGAGCTATATTTCTGCTCGCCGCGGATTGGAAGGTCGTGAGTTCGCTCTCTGGTGGAGCTGGACTTTTTTCAAAAATGACCTTGGCTCCCAGGTTGAACCATCCTCGAGTGGGGGTACCAGGTGCAGTCTCGGGAAGTAGAGGCGGCTGGCGTAATGCTGACCACATCACCCATCTTGTGCGATTGGTCTATAAAATATAGGTCTAGCCCTATATCCTAAAGGCATGGAAAAGGGTCCTTCACTTTTTACTTATTACAGCACATCTGTGCATCTTATGATGTGCCATGAAGTCTGCCAAGGAATCTTATTCCTAGCCACAACAGACATATTTTTATGCTTGAGAATTAGGCACTCATAAGCATGCAGCCAAAAAAGTGTCATTTCTTATACCCTAATTTTTCATCAGTCAAACAGTCTGGCTGGCTCTGCACAGCTTGGTGGAATACTGATGCATGATAAGGCAGACACGGTTAGTGCCTTGTGGGAGAGCTTGTACAGTTCAAAGAAGCAGATTGATCACCATAGTCTGGTGAGATTGGTGTAGGGGGGAGTGACGAGATGTTCTGGCAGATGCTCGAGGCTCAGAGGAAAGGCAAGACAGATGTTTAATCAGAATGTTACTGGCACCATTAGTATCAGTAATCTTCGCTGGCTGCTAAAGATGGGGACAGAGCGCTTATGGGAATGCCCCGATTGTTGTGATGTCGGTTCTTGAATCAAATCAAATCAATCAAACAGTCAACTTGGCAACTATAATTCCACTGTCATTAATCTTGCAGAGCTCTCATTTTTACACAAATGTCAACATCTTTCTACATTCTCATTTTTACACAAGCAATCTATATGGACACTTTCACTGAATGTGAGTAATCATTTTGTGTTCTCATTTCTACATGAAAAATCCACCTAGAAACTATAATTTCAATGTTAGCAGGATTTTTGTGCTCTGAATTCTGCACTTGAAGTCTGTCTGGGTGTCCCAGTATTTGTTACAGAATGTCTGCAAATCATAAATTAGGTATTAGAAATCACTGCGGATGCCTTAATTCACAATTTCCTAATCAATTTGGATACTGACTGTGGCTTTATTCATAAACTTAATGTGTAATGCTGAAATAGTTACTCATCTATGTCTAATTCCCATACTCCCAGCATAGTTTTAAACAGCAATTTATAAGCAACCAAATCCCCATTTGTTCGCCTTGGTCTTGAATAGGCAATTACCACTGTTGGCAGAAGCAGGGGTAATTAAGATGGACAACCCCAAGTTATGTAAACAAAAGGATCATGTGGTTAACCTTAGACTTCTGTGATGATCACATGGTTAAATTGTAGGCTTCCATCATGAGATATACAGTGTAACAAAAGACAATGTAATTTGTGTATTTCTATTGACAAGATTGTGTTTGTTGTATCATATAGTGACACTTTAGTAATGCAAATGACAACAAACAGCAAAATATGCCAGAGAATAATGTGTGCGCACTCACACACGGTTTAGTGCTTTTTTTTCTTTAAATGTCAGTGGCGTATCGGCCAAATGATGCTAGGCACATCAACATCTTCTCTAAGGTGGTATACATTTCTTTTTGAAGCCAGAATGTTATACAGGTCTGTGTGCCCAATGTTTAACCCTTTAAAAAAAGTTGGTTCATTCGTTTGCCCTATATTGTGACCTCATTATTTAAATTCTGTTTTTCTTGCCCTAGACTTCCTCAACTGTTATCACTCAGTGCAGACACATGGAGAAAAAAAACACACACAACCAGAATAACACCGAGTTATTCTTACTGTTAAAACTTCCTCAACTGTTATCACTCAGTGCAGACACATGGAGAAAAAAAACACACACAACCAGAATAACACCGAGTTATTCTTACTGTTAAAACTTCCTCAACTGTTATCACTCAGTGCAGACACAGGGAGAAAAAAAACACACACAACCAGAATAACACAGAGTTATTCTTACTGTTAAAACTTCCTCAACTGTTATCACTCAGTGCAGACACAGGGAGAAACAAAAAACACACACCCAGAATAACACCGAGTTATTCTTACAGTTAAAACTGGGGACATCTCCAACCACAGGCCGAGATTGTGGGGGCCAATTTCAGCAGAGATCACATCCCAAATGCTGTCTTTGCACTGTAGGAGGTGAAAGGGCAGGCGGGTTGATGCAGAATCTGGTAGGGAACTATGTCCAAGCTGAAAACAGAACAATTTAGCATTATAATTATTGTGTATTTACTCACTGGTTGTACAAGTACAGGGTGCGAAGGCAGCATAGCAGCTAGACTCTTGTCTGCTGGCTCAAAGGTCTTGGCTTTGATTCTACATCAAGTCTTTTTATTTCTCTCTTTCAAAACTGACTTTGGCTCCCAGCTAGACCCAGCCTAAAATAGGTACTAGATAATGTACTGGGAAGTAAAAGTGACTGGCGTGATGCTAACTCCTTTACCCATTGAGAGCTGACTGGTTTATAAAAATATGGATCTAGCATCATATGCTTTATTTTACTTCTTACTACTTACTACAGATCTATTTTATGTGATCTGTTTCGCTACAGAAAAATATCTTGCTTGAAAATTATTTTAGTCTGCACAACCTGGTTGAATACTGATGCATGATAAGGCAGACGTGGTTAGAGCCTTGCGGGAGAGTATGTACAGTTCGGAGGAGTAGATGGATCACCACAATCTGGTTTGATTGATGCAATGGTTAGGGGAGGGGGGGAGGGGGGGTGTGATGAGGGGTTCTGGCAGATGCTCGAGGCTCAGAGGAAAGGCAAGACTAACATTTAATCAGAATGCTACTGGCACCACTGGTATCGAAACTTTTAACTGGCTGCTGAAGATGGGGATGGAGCGCTTATGAGAATGCCCAAAGTGCTATGATGTCGGTTCTTGAATCTACTCAACTATTTTAGTCTGTTTAGAGCTTTATCTTTCATGGTTGTGCCAACAGTTATCTTTTATGACTATTCGGTCAGCATTGTCTTATAACCACTTGTCTTCAAAGTGTCTTATGGTAGATCAGGTGTGACATTCCTTGGGTACATTAAGAAACTACTGACTCTTATAGAATCCCGGCAACAGTTGTTATTGGCTGAACCGCCAAACCAAGCCCAAAGTGCACCAATGTTAATTAACCGTTGCCACGAGAAACCATGAATATAGCATATTTCAGGTGGTGCTCCTTCCCCGCCATTTCTACTTTGGCTTGTTTCCAAGAAGCTTAGTTAATGCTTTAGGGTTCTGTTTGTCCCTGTAGGGTTAAGCAGGCCTGAATATGAATATATTTACTAACAACACTGGAAAGGGGGGGGGGGGGGGGGGGGGGTGAAAGAAAGGGGGGAGGGGGTGTCATGTGAACAAAATTGCTGTATTAAAGCCATTTTTGTGTCATAATTTGCCTGTAACCTTAATGTTAGAATTCAGAAGAGGTCATGGGAGCCACAATATGTCACCTGATACCATTTTTCTTTTCAGGTCCTGGGGAACATTTTCCATTGAAAGCTTCATTACGTTCATGTTTAATTATTACTCCCTTAATATATTTAGAAAACGTTTTTGAATGTTGATAAATAAATGTTTCATAAATACCAATAAAGGTTTCACAAATATATTAGTGATCTGTGTCAAATGAATGCATTCTTTCAAAAGGATTTTTTTAAAGGAATTCCCACGGTTCCTGTCCGTTTGTTTAAAGATTTCTTAAAAACCTAAAAAGCAAACCCCCCCCCCCCCCCCCCCCCCCCCTCCAAAAAAAAAAAAAACACAAATCGTGTTAAATGAGAACTAAATCCTTACCTCTCCACTCTCATCAGGGACGCATCTGAACTTCTTTCTCTCTATCCCAGATGGAGTACTGCACCTCTTATAATGGTGCAAGTATCTCAGTAATTCTAAGCCCTGAAAATAAATTGGCAGATGATCACAGCTTTATAATGGCTACAAACAGAATAGCTAGTCAGCAAATCAACTTCAATGCACCTTAAAGCATTAGCCCATAAGTGATCGGATCCATTCCTCAGTGTGCTCGGATCCCTTTCTCAGTGAATCTATCCCTCAGCATGTAGTGCTTGATTAAACACAGTGTTTCCATGAAATAAGAACCTATCCCAAAAGTAAGGCCCAACACAATTTTTCAAGACGATATTAATATGAGCCCTACCCCAAAGTAACCCCTAGTTAAGATCATCAACTATAATGAAAAAAGTAAAGAACCCTTTTCCACGCCTTTAGGCGTATAAGGCATATAGGGATAGACCTATATTTTTATAGACCAATCGGCACAAGATGGGTGATGTGGTAAACATCACGCCGGCCACCTCTACTTCATGGGACTGCACACGGTACCCACTCAAGGCTGGTGTCGACCTGAGAGCCAAGGTCATTTTTGAAAAAAGTCCGGCTCCACCAGGAAGCGAACCCAATCACTGATATCTTGTTACCAAATGGAGAGAAATCAACATGAAACTGAAGCACTGTCTGCAGGAGGTCATGATGTGAATGAAGAATTCATGGAATACAATCACTGATATCTGTGTTACCAAATGGAGAGAAATCAACATGAAACTGAAGCACTGTTTGCAGGAGGTCATGATGTCGGTGCAGAATTCATGGGATGCAATCACTGACATCTGTGTTACCAAATGGAAAGAAATCAACAAGGAAACTGAAGCACTGTCTGCAGGAGGTCATGATGTCGGTGCAAAAATTCATGGGATACAATCACTGACATCTGTGTTACCAATGCTTGACAAGAAATGCTCAGTTAAGAAAAGCTTTACTGCTGGACACAAGAGACTGGGACTAGTGGTTCAACCAGAAATGCAGGCCAGAATTCAGGATACTGGAGAGCGATGACGATGTCCCAGAAGACGGTGACAGGACTTTATTTGAATAAATATAGGACTGTATACATGAATAAATACAGGACTGTGTACATGAATAAATGTTGATTTGTGTCCCTGAAAAAACAAGACCTCCAGCCACAAAGTATGTCTTAATACATTTTTAAGCAAATAATATAAGACCTGTTACTATTTTGTGGGGGAAACGATACTTCTGCCATATTAAATGTCATATTTGTTTAGAGAGAATAGTAACAGAAGATAAAGTGTCTGAAAGAAGAGGCACAGCTGTGGACAGTGGATATCAAGGACACTCTAGGCATGAAAGTTCACAGGGTGGGAAAGTTGGCAAGAGAACAAGAGGATTTCTGTCAAGCTATGATGAGAGGGATGTTCTGCAAAGGAGCTGCTACAGAACGAGGATGATACCTAGGCCTGCAGCCCTGGCCTGATATCCAGCAAACAAATTATATGAAGATCTGCACAAGAGCTGAGGTTCTCCTGCTATCATATGAAGGATATGGCAAACTTCAAGCACACACATTATATGAAGATCTGCACAAAAGCTGAGGCTCAATCCTAGTATCATCTGAAGGACATGATAGTTTCAGTGTGATAGAGATGAATCTGGTCAACAGGACTAGATTTCTTCTGTCACTCCATGTATGCTTAAGGCTGTAAAGGAAACTATATTCGCTCACACGCTGGGAAAAGGTGAAAGACCGGGGAGGAAAAGAGACAGAAAGTAAGCCAGAAAGTAAGCCAGAAAGAAAGAAAGAAAGAAAGAAAGAAAGAAAGAAAGAAAGAAAGAAAGAAAGAAAGAAAGAAAGAAAGAAAGAAAGAAAAAGAAAAAAAAGAGAGAGAGAGAGAGAGAGAGAGAGAGGGAAGGAGAGAGAGGGAAGGAGAGAGAGGGAAGAGAGGGAAGGAGAGAGAGGGAAGAGAGAGAGAGAGAGAGAGAGAGAGAGAGAGGGAGGAAGAGGGAGAGAGAGAGCTAGCTCAACAGCCAGGCCAGTGTCCCATACCTCACAAACATGCAGTGTTGATAGCTTGAAGGGAAACAGGTTCAGAAATGATGATATCAGGAAACCGGTTGGGACCAAACCAGTATTAAGCAAGAGACAACAGATCTAATGGTTGAGATATGTGTCAAGACTACCTCAAGATAGTTTACCATACTGTGTGATTTAAACCACAACATAAACAGAACTAGATGTTTCTAAAACTATCGATGGATAGATCAAATACTGGAGGCTGTGAAAACCAACATCTATGCAGCACACAACAAAGCTCACACCAGATGCCATTTCAAGTTTAAAAAACTAATGCTGAAAGGCAAAACAGTGTCTTGAGAAAAGAAAAGTTTTATCTTAAATTGCCAAAGACACTGGTAGACCTACAACAGATATTGCTTAAGGGGTGTGAAGTCTAAAGCCTTAACAAAATGTAGGATAATACACATCTCCTACATATTTTGTCGTGTTCCCGGTTATTCATTCACTTCTGGGCTTTAGTCTTGTTGCAGGACTTGAGTGTTGTGTGCACATCCATTCTACAGATCTGGTTTATTTGTTGGCAGACTGTTGGTTCCTTCCTCTCAGTCGGATGCACCATGACTTTAAAGGAAACACTGATGCTATCCAAGCTGGTCATACCTCTGGTAGGGAACCGGTTTCTAGTAAGACTGAGGAGAGGTTCAGATAGGCCTTGATGAGTAGGAAAAAATATCAAACCAAACAGTAGAACCAGTCAGCTTCACAATATCACAAACAACAAGTGAACCTTGTGGTTACAGGATAGGCTCTGGTCTTGGTGCACCATGTGTGGCTCTGCTTTCTGGCCACTCAACTTCAGCTTGGTTCCTATGCTCTTCATCTTTTCTTTCCAAATTCCAGAAAACTGACTGGTACCAATTTTTTTTTAAAAAAAGAGACTGGGTTTGGGCTGACCTGAGGTGTTAAAGGTATACACCACTCACCTTTAGAGTTTCTCTGCTTTCTTCTCGTTCTTGTATCTTCTCCAACAGAAACTGCAGCACTTCATAGTTGTAAGGATGGACCTGTGGGGGCAAACATTCAATTATAAATTTGTAACAGAGCTGGATGTTTTGTTCTGTGCATTGAAAGAAGTGTCAGAGAAGAGAGGCAGGACTGACCAGAAGAGATAAAAACATCATAAATGACATCATAAGAGAAAAAGTGGTTACAGAAGCAATTCTAAATTGCATACAAAGACAGCACATTTTGTGGTTTGCCCATTTAGAGAGAATACCTTTTTTATTTTGTTATTTTGAATTGAGAATCATCATCATAGCACTTAGGACACCTCCATAAACGCTCTTCCCCATCTTCAGTAGCAAGCAAAGAGTTCAATTCCGGTTCCAATGCCTATGGTACCAGTCAGTGTCTGATTGTACATCCGTCTCGCCACAACCTTGAGTGTTGATTGTCGGCCAGATACCCTTCTAAATTCCCGCAGCACCATTCCCCTCACACAGAATACATTATAACATCATACCATACAAGTCATAAACCAAAAGAGGAGAAGGACGTGAAGTAGAAGGTAGACCAAGAACAAGATGGAAAGATAACATCAGAGAAACTCTACAACAGCACAAAGTGGCTATGGTTCAGGTGGATAGTAGAACAAGAAGCAGAAGCTTAGATCTCCCTCGACAACTGAAGCAGTTATTTGCTCATCATCATCATGTGTTATGCAGATAAGCTTAGGCAACTGTAGTTTGTGATCTCACACGACCACAAGTCTCAGATCACTGTTCTTGTCCTGCTGTGCCAATTGGCCAATCCTGTCTTTTATCCTTCTTCTTTTATGTGTCGCACTTAAAAGGACGACTTGCACAGTTTGTTGAGCACATCGATGACCAGGCTAGTAGACGACTTTGTGGCTGATTGGGACAGTATCTGGGTCTGTCTCTTTTGATCGCATCAAGAATCATTTTCAGTGCTACTTGGTAGTGAGCATTGCTAAACCATTTTATATGGCGCAAGTAACCTCGTCACAATTATAACATAAAGCTCCCCCTTCGGCGATGCTGGTTAAACCTGATGATTTTAAAAACTTTTTCTCAAAAGCTGAAACCAGCTGCCGTGTGTTTAGGTTTACAAAATTACAGTTAGGCTGTGACATCTATACCTTTTGACCCAATACATTTGATTGCAGCAAATTCCTAATTAGTTGCCTTTTCAACATGCTTGTTGCAGGGGCAGTGGGTCAATTACCCCCCCCCCCTCCCCCCTCCAAATGGGACCCCTGGAACTCACAGGAGCACCAAGTCAGTTTTTAACTGAGTTTTCAAGATTATTTCCCCCTCATAAAATGGCCCACAAATCTTCACTATCTACGCCTAATCATGATGGATTGTTAATCCCGGGAGACTTGAATGCTCACGTAGGAAAGGACAACGCAGGGAGGAAGAGAACAATGGGAAAGCATGGAATAGGGACAATGACCAACAACGAAGAGAGATTATGTGATTTCAGGGAATCTAATCTAAACTCCAGTGGAAAGCTCTGGTTGTTCATCCACTTCTGAACTTTAGTCTTGTTCCAGAACCCAACTTTTGCAGGCACATCTGTTTTACAGATCTGGCATTTTTGTATGCAAACTGTTGGTTCCTCACATCTCAGGCAGATGCACCCTGACTTTAAGGAAAACCCCTAATTAGTCGACTATTACGACATACTTGTTAGCGAGGCTGTGGGTCTGTTCTCTATCTCCTCACAATAGGGCCCCAGAACACACATGAGGAGCATATTTGTTTTCAATTACAAACAGATTCCAGCAAAAGATGGTGAACTATTAACCCACTGACTACCAGAGTCACACGTTGAGCGACAAGGCGACGTTTACTTCCTGTCACCAACGTCGCACGCTTTGCGATTTTAGCTTTGGACGCTCGCCGTCATGTTGAAATCGCGATTTTTATGATGGATTTAGTTGAAACCTCTAGCTTATTCACTACTGTGTGATTAATTAAGGGAAATAACTTTGCAGCGCTTGAAGTAAATAGCTGACAAATTTGTTTTTAGTTAGCTCCCATGTCGGTGAGACATTGACGGAAAATTCATCATGGCGTTCAAATTCTCAGAGCCATCGTGGTGGTCATATTTCTCCTAATTTTTCAAATGATGCATGTGATTTTCTTGATTTTGCTTTAAAAAGTGAATTTGAAGACACTTCTGGACAGTTTGATGGCTATGACTATGATAAATTTAACGAAGTGCCATTCGAAACATCGTCGACTGTGAAACAACGGCATGACCCTTCGAAGTCGAGTCTGACAAAGACAGTGTTGTCAGCTGCAAGCACTAGTGCGGCAGTTTATGATGCTGATAGTTCAGGTGAGAGTATTCTGTCAAAGCCTGCAGATTAAAAAGATCTTGTGCCTGAGTCTGCACTTGACAAAGATATCATTGCCACTTTTGATTCAGAATCATCATTATCTGACGAGTCCGGGAAAGATTTGCCACGCCCCCCAATGGACTGGCATTGTGATTTAGAAGGCTTTCCTGGAGTACCCCTATTTACTGGCACTTGTGGTTTATTTCTGCCAGAAGGAACAAATGAACCACTGGATATTTTCTTCAGTAAATAAATTCTTGCTGTGTTTGCTAAAGAAACAAACCATTATGCTGAGGCATAGATTGGTGCGAAACCAGACAACTGTTTTGCCAAGAACTGGAAACACACAACCCCAAATGAAGTGACAGGGTTTCTTGTACTCTTGCTTCACATGTGCTGTGAAAGAGCCGTCTATTTCAGATTACCGGAGCATACATCCATTTATCCACTCACCATTTACTGCCACCATCATGCCACAGGGGCGTTTTCTATATATTGCTGTCAGATAAAAGATATTTCTGTTGCCTTTTTTTTGGTACCCTACATACAGCCACATGATGATGATGTCAAACAGTAAATCTATATATATTTGTCTAGATATTTGTTATCTATTTAATTTGTGCGAACAATATCAGATAGGATAAGTGATCTTGAACAGTTGTGAAGCTGTGACTTTTTTTGGGGTGGTCTGTATTATTGTCAGATAAAGGTTTTTTCAGTTGCCTTTTTTTCAACAATCAACAGCCACATGATGATGATGATTATGTCAGACAAAGTAAACCACATTTGTCATCACATGTGTTCTCGGTTCAATTTTGTGCAAAAATATAATATATGTTTGTTGAATATTTTTGAAAATATGACATTTTTATTAGTCTTTATTGTTGTCAGATAAAAAATGTTCAGTTGCTTTTTCCGCAACAATCTACAGCCACATGATGATGATGACTATGTCAAAGTAAACCTCATTTTTTTTCTCAAATGTGTTCTGGGTAAAAATTTTGTGCAAAAATAAAAAATGTAAATTTTTGTTAAATATTTTTTGAAGATAAAACATTTTTACTAGTCTTTATTGTTGTCAGATAAAGATTTTTCGGTTGCCTTTTTTGCACCAATCTAAAGCCACATGATGATGATACAAAATAAAATAAACAATCCTTGAAATTTTTCTTCATTAATTTGGTGCAAAAATACAAAATATTGTGAGATTATATCAAATAGTTGTGAAGCTGTGGCATTTTTAGTATACACTAAAATATGTGGTATCTGGGGAAACGCAAGGGTTAATGGGCTTGGTAGTCAGTGGGTTAAGTGGCTCTCAATTTTCAGTCTAGTGGAGCAGTCCAGATAAGTGTAACTCTTTTAGTCCCATTAGGTTTTGTACTGAGATCCTTTTCTTAAATACTGCCACAAAACTAACCACTTGCTGTGTTGTAGCAGTGAAAAATGAAACACAGATACCCCTGTGGTTGCCAGATTGATTTTGTATGCACTTACCAAACTTAAATATATACACATATATATAATAAGTCACTTGACGTTATGTTTGAGACATGAAGGGAATAGTCAGTAACACCTCATGCGTTGTTTGGGACTAGTACATTGCAGAGATACTCACATCATCAAGCTCAATATGGTTAAGGTAACTGCATTGATTTGAAAAGGTATATAAAGGGCAAGCCGGCAGAGAATTACTTTCACCGCTCGAAGAAACAGAATGAAGTGACATATCTTTTTGCCAACTCTGTATTATCAGTGCCTGGCTTACACAATGACAGAAGAAGAGAAAAGAAAAATTATAACTGAAATGAGATTCTTGCGAAGGGCTTTCAATAAAAAAAAAAAGAAAATCAGAAACAAATTTGAAAGAAAGTGGGGGTAGCAGCAGCTCTGGATTTCAAGACAACATGTGAAATGGTTTGGCCACATAACGTGGATGTTAGACAGTATACCACAGCAGGCAATGATGTACAGACCAGGCGGAAGTCGAAGAAGAGGCTGACCATGCAACCGATAATTACAGAGTCCATGGGAATCCCCATTTTATTAAGCAAACAAACGGGCTCTTTCCCGTAAAATATACTTCATCTTGATACCGCAAGTTACCGGATCTAGAAGAACTGAGAAGGGTTATAATGAATTTCCATTACAGCATCATTGCCTTTGCATCCCTACACAATGTAGGTAAAGTAGCTTCTATGCATCTGGGACTTAAGTGTTATCACAGTCTCACAACTGACATATCTGAAGTCAGTTGCAGGCTTTGATCTGATTTCGACAATCGAATCACAAGAGCATTATACCCCGTTCAGTAAGCAATGGCAAACCAATGAATGGGGAAGCTGCAGAGTACAAATCCAACAGCCAATAAATGTTGGATTGGTATCAGATATCCTGATGAAGATATGCAACTAACTTAAAGCAGTTTGACTTTTGTCTACACACATGCAAGCTAACTACCATTAAAAACACCTCTCATCATCATCATCACGTGACCTGCCGACCGGCGTAGGCATTCATGCATCTCCACAGCTCTCGGTCCCTAGTCCTTTGGGTCAGTTCCACTGATGATATTCTACCGTCATAGTGTCTCTCTGTCTGCCTTTCCCTCTTCGACTGTTGATCCTCCCAGTCGTCACAATATTCTCCAAAGCCCCCCCCCCCCCCCCCTTTCATCACATGACCAAAGATCAATGCTTGACTTTTCCTTACAGCTGTATATATTGATCTGCCTTCATTAGCTCCCTCTAAGCAATACTCGTTAGTTGGCAGTCCAAGAAATTCTAAGAAACTACCACTATTGCCTGTATTGACAACTTTTGTGGTATAGGCGGCGGGGGGAGGGGGAATCTCTCTGAGCCTTAGGATTTAGGGCAACAAGTGTAATCACCACAGACTGTTAAGATTAGAACTTAATTTTTGCCAATGACAGATAAAACCTGTAACCATACCAAGAATTCGTAAACTGATTTCCTGCTTAACAGCCCAATGATTTTAACTGTTTTATCAGCTTTTCTTCGCTAATTATAACTTAACTCAGTCCTATACAACTCACCTCCTGGAGAACTTTCTTAAGTATCTATAATGAGTCCTATTTAAATAACTCACCTCGTGGAGAACTTTCTTAAGTATCTTCAATGAGTCCTCTTTAAATAACTCACCTCGTGGAGAACTTTCTTAAATATCTTCAATGAGTCCTCTTTAAATAACTCACCTCGTGGAGAACTTTCTTAAATATCTTCAATGAGTTCTCTTTAAATAACTCACCTCATGGAGAACTTTTTTAAGTATCTTCAATGAGTCCTCTTTAAAAAACGCAAGGGCATTTTCAGCTTTCCTCAGCACAGCAGGGTTTAACTTGTCCTCCGTGTGGACGGTCAGACAGACCTCGAAGAACTGCGTAAGGACAGTGTTTAAATGGGTGGCCTCCAGGTTGAAATCGCTAAACCATCAAACGGATAAGAAAATATGTTACAAACTGAATCATCATCATCATCAGGTGCCTTGCCGACTGGCGTGGGCGATCTCCTGCAGCATGTATCAGTTTGTGTGCCAACACACCTCCATGCCATGCAACAAGACGGTCAAGAAACTTCTCTCGTCTTCCTCTATCCCTCCTTCTACAGATCTTTCCAGTGGTCACAACAGGTTCTATTTTCCCTCTTCTCATAAAATGGCCGAAAAATTATGACTGTCTCCTTCTCATGTCTGTGATAAGTTGTCTTCGGGCTCCCGCCTCTTTTAAAACCTCTTGGTTGCTCGTTTTTGGCTGTCCAAGGTATTCTAAGCATTTTTTGGTAAAACCACATCTCTAAGGCCTCAAGAAATTGTTTGGCCTGTCTACCGATTGTCCAGGATTTACAGCCATATACAAATTGAATATACAGTTTAAAAAAAAACCCTACAGTTATCTGATAGGGCTCTAACACCAAGGAGAAAAAAAAAAAAAAAAAAGGAAATTCACCCAATTAATTGACAATTCTTTTGCACATAGGTTAACAGTTTTTGAGCATACAGGTTTTCCCATAAACAAATAAAAACTTGCTAACGAATAACTGTGCATTTATTGTTTTAAACAGGAAAGCAAAATGGGATAACTATGCGTGTCTTTCTTTCTTTCCTCTTTAAAAAAATGTTTTTGTTTGTTTTGTTTTGTTTGTTTAACACACAGTTTGAAATCAAAGAACCACACAAACAGCAGAAAATATATTACAAATGAACACTGCTTAAAATCACTGAACCATCAACAGGGAGCACAAAATATATAACAAATGGAATACTGGTTGAAATCCCTCAACCATCAAAATAGATAATAAAACATACCATGAACAGAATCCTGGCTGAAAACAATAAGAAGAAACTCCACAGGGGAGCATGTACAGCAGGGGTCTACCAATCATCAGTAGAAGTAATCTCTCGCCGACAAATGTTTCGGCCCACGAGCTCCTAGACATTTTCAGAGAGTGGGCCCACCTGAGTTCATGAGGCTCAGGGTTGGTTTCTCCTGCTGCACGTATTACCGGACATGAATGTTGAGTGCTGATTCAGGTGGATTGTAACATTGTGGGGAGGAACAATGTGGTATGAATCGTGTTTGCGGGAATCCACGACAATGTTCAGTTACCTGTGTCAATATGTTGCCCAGTGTTGACTCAGGCCAGGCAATATCTGTCCGGTGGAGTCAATATTGTGGCAAGTGGGAAGTGGCTTGACACGGGATGGACCCGAGAAGCCCGAGGTAGTAGCCGAGTGGGCTAACTATCACGACTTATACGAGATAGCCGCTGACGCATGGAAGAAGGATGGGATGCATGCTTCTCGTGGGGCATGAACCGCCCACGAGGGGCAGGCAAGGGTATATACTGGGGTTGAGTGGACCAAGAGAGACAGACAGACAGTACCGCAGTACGAGTCACACAGTGAGGTCTGAGAGCATAGAGCCTCGGTGCAGTCAAAGGGAGAGAGTCCAGCTGGCAGAGTTGGGCCATGAGGACTTGACCCTTAAGAGTGGCTGATTGGGTGACGACGCAGGGTTCACTAGTGAAACAAGACAGCGGGGGATGCCGGAGATAGCTGTGTGCTGAAGGGGACTCGGAGCCAGGAGTCCTGCCAGTCATCGGAGTACTTCGACGAGGCTGATGTGCTGTGGGCACATGCTGGAGAACGAGTGTTATGAGTCCGTTTCCAGGCAGCCGATGTGTCTGCTCAGTGTAAAGAAGAGGTCCAGTTGATAGGAGAGATTTCAAGCTCATCTGTACGGCGAGCCCTGAGTTGCGGGACACTGTAGACCTACAGCATGAAAACCATTTCCTTCCACCCTGATTATATTTACACAAGTATCAATGAAAAATCACATTTCTTACCAAATGTCATCTATCTTCCTAGCTCATATACGGATGGTGATGCACAGGTGTATAGCGATGAAAATCATGCTGAAGAAAAAGCAGGGGGAAGAAACAGGAGGAGAAAAAGTAGAAATATGGGAAGCAGAAAAAAAAAAGTAGGAAAAGAATGAGTGGACGGGGAAGGGGAATAAGCAGGCAGAAGAAAGAGAACGAGAAAAAAAAAGTAGGAAGATAAGAAGTAGAAAAAGAATAAGGAGGAGATGAGAGGGGAAAAAAGAGGAGGGGAAGAAGCAGAATACAAAAGAGGTGTCTATCAACTGGTTAAAAAAAAAATGGTGGAATAGCTCCAATTATGAACAGCCACTAAATAGGGACAAGACTAACATTCAGAAGTCGGCTCTGTGGCTAAGTTGTGTGAACGATTCGTAATGCCAGGATGCCGGGTTTGATCCCAGCTGCAGGCCATGCGCCTTGCGTTGGTTTCGACAGTGGTATCCAGAAAGCTGACCGTCCAGAAAGCAATGGCAAACTACTGGACGTAAATATGCCTAGAAAAACCACACAACGTCCTGTAAAGGATGCGCAACTAACTAACCTTATCATTCAGAAAAACATATACCTGACAAACTCAAGAATAATGTCCACTTCACACTGTGGGCTCTGTGTCAGCTTGTGCACAGCTTCCATAGCTTCACTGATGTTGAAGACTGAAGAGCTTTTCAATGGAATCTGATGAAAACGGAACACAATGGTACACATTTATTACAGGAAATACAAGAACAAACTCCACAGAATACCACTATCTGACTATGACACCTACTTCAAAATCCCTTTCTGGTCGATAATGTTATTTTGTTTCAGTTTTAGTCGAGGTTCCAACTTCACTGCAAAGGGGGTTTCCCCTTACTTGCTTGGTTCCTGTGCCAGCGCAAATGAAATAAAAAGTACCTCACTGCCTCATTTGAAAAACAAGTGAACAAATAATTAGTCCTGGAACAATCCAGAAATACTTGCATGCAGTAAATACATATGGCAGTTGCTAGAGGTGCCAAAGCCAACAGTTGCCACCAGAAATGCGGTTTTTGTTGATGGAAGTGGCCGGGCCTGATAAGTTGGCTATACACATGTAGAATTATTACAAAGGTACTTCACCAGCTCACAAGTAAACTGTCTACCGGCCATATTTAATATGACACAACCACTGCACAAATAAAAGGCATTCGACATGAAAAACACAGCTCACAGTGCTGCACCAAGCACTAAACTCAGTAGCTCAGGTAGTGAAACCACAGACTACTGTCCATATGGTAAAACTGCATTAGCAAAGCCCTGTCGGAAGCAAAAATAACTTCAAAGCTTAACATTCTGCCGTGCCTAACCCTCCATTTTAGACCGGAAGTTATTTTGTGCTATAGAGAGACATGGGAACCACAGCCCATGGCAACCAATAAAGGTCAGGGATGAAGTTCTCTCCTCTTCACTGCACAAAGCCTGGGCAGTAATGTAGAAATCGTGTGTTGCCTATGTAGCACGATCCATCTTTGACCTCCCTTGTTTACTCCGAAGAAAAAGTAACTCCAATAGGTTTGGAATAAGACATGCTGCAGAAGCTGCCCGACTACTTGCAACAATGGCGGACTGCAATTTCTGGTGGTGACTGTTAGCTTTTGGCATCTCTGGCAACTGAAATCTGCATTTGCTGACTGCGCATATGTTCCGGATTGTTGCTCCAGGGCTAATAGTTCAGCAGTTTTTTAAACGCTACAGTGAGGGACATTTCATTTGATTTGCACTGGCACGGTAACGGAGCAAGTATGGGGAAAAACCTGACTGCAGTGAGGTTGAAACCTCGACTACGACCAAGACTAAGTCTCTGTGGCAGCTGGTCCCTGGTCATTTTGGTAAGATGGCCAGAAAATCTCATTCTCATCCTCAAAATTGCAAAGTAAAATACTAATAATTTAAGGACTTGAGAGAGACTCAAAATACACAAAGTGAAATGAAGATGAATAGCACAATTTAAAAAAAAAAAAAAAAAAAAACAATTATCTGAAAGCCATGACAAGTGGGCCGCAGGCTGGGAGGCTTTGGTATTGATATTGTTTATAGAATCCACAAAATCTGGGAAGGCTAACCCGGTCAACAAATGCCCGCAGAAGTCGGATGTGTTGGCCGAAAGGTTTCAAATATCGCAGCTATGCTGTAAACGGACAAAACGCAATTACATCTTCGGATAAACGCAGAAGAAGAAAAATCCACAAAATAAGGACAGTACAGACCAATTAAAATGCAGTCAAGAACTAGAGACAACAGTAAGGATACAGAGGAAACGAGATAATAAGGGAGATGTGCTAAGTGACAGAGGAGAGTCTAAGATTATTTTGAGTTAACAGGACCAGTAGATGAAGAAGCAGAGCAGCTGTAGGAGTTAATAAAGGAGTTAATATCCAAACAGGCACAAAACTGACAATTTGTAATCTCATAATAATCACTATTTAAAAAATATCCATTTACACATAATAACGGACAATCTTTTCTTCTTCTTCTTCAGCATTTCGAGCCCTTGAGATTCATGGCTGCAGATATCACCACCCTTCATTCATCTCTCTGGTTGGCCTTCTCTTTCCAGTTGGTGACACCAAGTGTTTGCAGGTCTGTCTGAATATTATCTCTCCATCATCTTCTTGGTCTCCCTCGTGGTCTACGACTATTCATCTCCCTGGTGTATACAGTTTTTACTTCTCTGTCATCTGACATTCTTTCGATATGTCCCAACCATTTCAGTCTATTAGCTCTCATGATGCCAGTGATCAGTGGTGATTTAAACAGATTGTGAATTTCATTGTTGCTTCTCACTCTCCATTCATCGCTGTTTGCATCTTTGATTGACAACCTTGTGGTTTTACAAAAACAATATACTTACGCCAATCTTGGACAATCTGTTGCCCCACTTGGCAATAACTTGGGTTCGCTGGCAACTTTCTATCAATTTCTGGTCTCTCAAGATTTCTGCTGTAGCACTGGCCACTGCATTCACTCTCTGAATAAGAAATACAATGTTATGACAATACATGTAACTGCACACTGGGGATTCCCATGTGTGCTCAGTCCTCCCATGCAGCAGCCACTCCAAGGTACCTCTACTGATTGTTCCCATGAGGAGCTCGTTATAATGTCTATTATCTTGGCCTCAAAGGCAGCCTAGACATGATGCCCCATTCTTTACTTCCATCTTGTGTAATCGTGAAACAAAAGAAATACAACAACCCTTTCAGGTGTATTTAGTTAGTTGCGTATCCTTTACAGGACGTTGCAGAACCAACCCTAACAGCCCCTGGCTGTTGTGTGGTTTCTCTAGGCAATTTACATCCAGTAGTTTGCCATTGCTTTCTGGACGTTCGGCTTTCTTGATACCACTGTCGAAACCAACACAAGGCGCATTGCCCGCAGCTGGGATCGAACCTGGCATCCCGGCATTACGAAGCGAAGCGTTCGCATCGACTTAGCCACAGAGCCGACTTTTCAGGTGTATGCTACATGTAAAATAAATCCATATGAATAAAACATGTTATTCCCGTGCGGGTTCTGGTTGGGGTCTGACTAGGGGGAAACAAACAGAATAGAGCCCACTTCTCATGTTGTAAGAGTCGACTAATTAAGGATGCTTACTTTAAAGAAGGAGAAGGTTTAGGTTTAGACAACGGATCAACATCGTGGCACAAGGGTAGTAACCCATAAGTGCTCCATTCTACTTCTGACTCAAGCCTGAGTATGAAGAATTTCAGCGCAGTGCACCCACTTTGTAGCACCGGCGAGGGTCCTGAAATACTTTGGGTAGATTTTAAACTCCAAATTTAGCCCGGGCAGCACAGTTAGGCTACTCTTTTTCGATTCCAACTGTCAAGGGATTTTTTTTTACCTGCGCAACAATACACACGGGCGCCTAATCTTACTACCCAGAGACCAGGGGAAATTACTAGAAAAGCTTGTATCCAACAGTGTGCACAATACAAAAGATCCAGATCTGTAAATGGAACATGCACATAAACTCAGGTTCTGGAATAAGATCAAAGTCCAGAAGTGGATGAAACACCAGAACTTTCCGACAGCATTTACAGCCAGTGAACACGAAGAAGAAACATGTTCAAAGCGCTTCCAATTTTGATTTAATTTTTAAATGGAAGTATATGAAGCATGGGAGGTATCCTTCAGCCTGTAGGGGAACTTCATGTAGGGGAACTTGCTACATAATGATAACTTCTATAGAACTGATGTAGAAAAACAACACACCTTAAGCTTTGGGTAGTTGCTCAAGCAGGATCTGATGACATTCTTCAGCAGCGGAACACTCTGTTCCTTGGACAGCATCAACAGATGGGCTTCAGCTAACAGAACATCTACTGGAACTGTATTCACAATCTGTAGCATACAGATGCAAGTTAAACAAAAGGTTGAATACAGATGTAAGTTAAACAAAAGTTAGAATACAGATTTAAGTTAAACAAAAGTTAGAATACAGATGTAAGTTAAACAAAAAGCACTCTTTTTACACCAGTGGTGTCTTACAGCAAAGAATAATATACAGTAGATGACCATCAACGGGTGACGTGGTGAACATCCCACCGGCTATCTTAATCTCCCACGGCAATACATGGTACTCTTTTGAGGCAGGGGTCAGCCTGGAAATCTAGGTTAATTCAATTGTTTACAAACTGGCCTTTTCATGGATTTGAAACCAAGACCCTCTTGTATTTGGGGGGGGGGGGGGATGGCGGGGCACCCTGGAATCCGTGTTAACAAGGTTTAACTGTAATATCCCATACCACAGTGTGTTGGTAAGTTACCAAGTTACCGCTGACTCATCTTCTTCTTCTTCACAAATAAGTCAACTGCTGCTGGCACCAGCAGTATCGTAACTCTTCGCCGGCTGCTGAAGATGGGGGCGGAGCACTTATGGGAATACCCCCAGGGCTGTGATTTCGGATCTTGAATCAAATCAAATCACACAAATAAGTCAGATCTGTAAAATGGTTGTGTAAACAACACTTGTCCTGGAACAAGACATCTAGAAGTGGATGGCCAATCAGGTTTGAAGTCAGTGGATGTATAAAGACACAAATGGAATTGTTTAAAAAAAAAAAATTTCAAAGAGCATGAGGAAAGACTTAACACCAGAAACTCTAAGAAATAAGTGAAACAAGCTACTGGAAAAGTGCCATTTAAATGATGTAACAACAAATGACTGAAGGGACGGACACATTATTCAGAAGGCGACAAATAACTGAAGCAGTGAAAATCGTTGTTCTAGTGACAACAACAACAAAAACTATCAAGCTGGTGACATATGACTGTTAGATGCAAATAACTTTAGTAGTGACATATAATTTACTGAAACAGTGACAAATAATTACTAAGATACTGAAAAGTAAATGAAATAGGGGTTAAAAAAATGGAAACAAACATCTTATGAGTTAGTGATAAATAACAGAAAAAGAGACGAATAACTGACATGGTGATAAATATCAGAAATAATAACAAACATTTGAAATAATGACAAATAACATTAAAAAGTTATGAATAACCAAAATGGTGACAAACATCTGAAATACTGAAAAATAACAGAAAAGGTGAGAAATAACAGAAATAGTGACAAACAAAAGAAAAAAAAAAAAGAGAAATAACAAAGAAGCTAACATCAGACAGGACAGACACACACTGAGAAAACCTGAGAACAATATAACCACATGGGGCACAGAAACAAAGGCAGACTAAACAAACAAAAACGTGGAGAAGGGAACTAGAGTGGAGTTGAAAAGATGAGGAGGACCTGGGGTGAGCTGCATATGATAGCAAAGGATAGGATGATCTGGTGTGAGGTGGTTGAGGGCCTACAGAACACTGTTCAACACAATATTCTTACCAACGCTATGCTATCCATATCAAACATGGACACTGTCTTCAGAAAATAGTCACGGCAGAAATGAAATGTTTACGTACTATGCTAGGTGCAATCAGAAAAGTTTGACTTAAGGACGATAATGTCAGGAGGAAATTCGGCACAGAACCAATACTGAACTTAATAGGTAGACACATCAAATGAAATGGTTTGGCCATGTAACAACGACTGGCATCAATCAGGGCTGCACAGAGAGCAATGTTATATAGGAACAGCTATAGCAGAGCCGGAGGTGACCACGCAGAAGATAAACTGTAGAAATGTCAGACGCTGAAAAGTACTTGATATGAAGCGAACAAAAGGGCCAGTTATAGAGATCTCTTCCTGGCCTGAGGCATTCCAGGAGTATAGAAAAGAAAAAAGAAGAAGTAACAAATGAGATAATGACAAATAACATAAGTAGTGAGAATTAAATGTTGAATGTTGAAATAAGAATTGATATCATAGCACTCGGGACACTACCATGAACGCTTCGTCCAAATTCCTATGGTACCAGTAACTGATTGTATATCCATCTCCCTGTTCCCTTGAGTGTTGAGCGTTGGCCAGATTTCCAGGTAACTCCCCGCAGGGCCATTCTCCCCAGACCGTAATGATCAATTTGTGCCTCTACACTGTTCATTCGCTCCCAAAAGACCGTCACAACATCTAGTTTATCATACATCAATTCACCACCAAGTGTTGCAGAAACAGCCAGTCTATCTGTGTGCTCATTTCCCAATACACTGGCATGAGAAAATATACAAAGGATGCTAACTATCTGGGACCTCTGAAGTGATACATTCCATTCTGCACAACATGCTCTGTGAGTCAGTTACAAGCACGGCATATGTGAATAGCTTATTCTCAAGCCAGCAGAGGGCACCTAAATTCTCAAACTAGACGTTGTGATATCATACGCCAGAATTTGCGGGAATTGTCATGAACCATTTGTTGAACTTCTGATTCTGCAGCACTAGCTGTCCAGTCAGTGCACTTACCACCTAAAGAAACTTGCTCGGACATTTTGACCCACTCCTCACCCAAATTGATGAAGCCTGCACACACGTCTAATTGTGTCCTCAGCTGGCACCATCCAAGACCCTCCTCTTCTCAGTCTGTGCCCCTTAGCTCCACCCAGGGCTCCATGCAAGAGGTGCTTATTGTCTGCAGCTACTCTGAGATATGACTTTGCTTGGAGAACTTCTAGCCTGCCAGCAACAATAGGCAGTGCAAGTATATATCGCATACAGTACTATCACAGTATTTCTTGTACATTCCAGAATACTCGCATAGCTTCATTCTGTATGCAATCAAGTTTCATCAGCTGACTCTCTGATAGTGACAATTAGTTAAGGTGAGTCAATGTAGCTATAGTAGCAACATTTAAGTGACTTTTGACAAATTACTGAGCTGGTGACACATAACTAACAAAGTTTACACGCACACACAAAAAGCATAGGAACCTTTTCATGTTCTGTTCATAGCAAACTGGGCATATAATGCTAGACTCAAATTTTAATGGATCAAACTGCCCTTGGTGGATTATGTGGTCAACATTACGCCGGTGGCCTTTACTTGATACCACTTTTAGGTTCATCTGACTTTGGTGCAAGGGCATTTTTTTTTTTTTTTAGAAAAAAAATCTGACTTGGTGCGGATTTGAACCAATGACTTTCATACCAGCAGGTGGATCACCTAGCCACCACAGCAGTGACAACTGACTACTTAGCAATACAGGACATGTATTTATGTCACAAATATTTATGTAACAAATGACAGACATGGTGACAAATTATTGAGGGGGTGGCATATTACAGAGATAGTGACAAACTACTGAGGTGGTAGCAAATTACTCAGGTGGTGACAAATTAGTGAGATGGTAATAAATTACTGAGGTGGTAACAAATTAGTGAGGTGGTAACAAATTAGTGAGCTGGTGACAATTTAGTAGGGTGGTGAAAAAATATTGAGTAAGTGACAAATTAGTGAGATGGTAATAACTTACTGAGGTGGTGGCAAATTACTGAGATGGTAATAAATTGCTGCGGTCGTGGCAAAATAGTGAGATGGTAATGAATTAGTGAGTTGGTGGCAAATTATTGAGATGGTGACAAATTAGTGAGATGGTGACAAATTAGTAAGGTGGTGACAAATTAGTGAGATGGTGACAAATTAGTGAGGTGGTGACAAATTAGTAAGGTGGTGACAAATTAGTAAGGTGGTGAAAAAATACTGAGATAACAATAAACAATACCTTGACCTGAGATAACAATAAACAATACCTTGACAATCAAACTTGAAGCAAGGTTCCTGGCCATACTGGTTATCTTTATCACAATGTCCACACAGCACTGGTAGGTCCATGGGGAGACACAAACAGTAACAATAAAGACAAGATAAATATGAGTGTGTTAGCAGGCGGGTTCTCAACATAAGATAAATATGAGTGTGTTAGCAGGCGGGTTCTCAACATAAGATAAATATGAGTGTGTTAGCAGGCGGGTTCTCAACATAAGATAAAAATGAGCGTGTTAGCGGCGGGTTCTCAACATAAGATAAAAATGAGCGTGTTAGCGGCAGGTTCTCAACATAAGATAAATATGAGTGTGTTAGCAGGCGGGTTCTCAACATAAGATAAATATGAGTGTGTTAGCATGCAGGTTCTCAACATAAGATAAATATGAGCGTGTTAGCGGCGGGTTCTCAACATAAGATAAAAATGAGCGTGTTAGCGGCGGGTTCTCAACATAAGATAAAAATGAGCGTGTTAGCGGCAAGTTCTCAACATAAGATAAATATGAGTGTGTTAGCAGGCGGGTTCTCAACATAAGATAAAAATGAGTGTGTTAGCAGGCAGGTTCTCAACATAAGATAAAAATGAGCGTGTTAGCGGTGGGTTCTCAACATAAGATAAATATGAGTGTGTTAGCAGGTGGGTTCTCAACATAAGATAAATATGAGTGTGTTAGCAGGCGGGATCTCAACATAAGATAAAAATGAGTGTGTTAGCAGGCAGGTTCTCAACATAAGATAAATATGAGTGTTAGCAGGCGGGTTCTCAACATAAGATAAATATGAGTGTGTTAGCAGGTGGGTTCTCAACATAAGATAAATATGAGTGTGTTAGCAGGTGGGTTCTCAACATAAGATAAATATGAGTGTTAGCAGGCGGGTTCTCAACATAAGATAAATATGAGTGTTAGCAGGCGGGTTCTCAACATAAGATAAATATGAGTGTGTTAGCAGGTGGGTTCTCAACATAAGATAAATATGAGTGTGTTAGCAGGCGGGTTCTCAACATAAGATAAAAATGAGCGTGTTAGCGGCGGGTTCTCAACATAAGATAAAAATGAGCGTGTTAGCGGCAGGTTCTCAACATAAGATAAATATGAGTGTGTTAGCAGGCGGGTTCTCAACATAAGATAAAAATGAGTGTGTTAGCAGGCAGGTTCTCAACATAAGATAAAAATGAGCGTGTTAG